GAGTAGATTTAGTCTTGGCTCCTAAACAACTTTGAGCTAGAGAGTGAGTTTTCAATTTAAAACGGCATTTTAGATCAAAAACGATTCGCGTCCACACTAGCGTTTCACCTAGAGTTTCTGAACATATCTTTGTCCACACTACGCCACCAAAAAACGTATATCACGTGACCATTCGCACACTCTGGGCATGCGCATTCTAGTATAAACAGGAAGCATGCATCTCGCTCAGCATTTGGTTATTGTTAGTCAATAAACTCCGGTTGAACAATGAACGCGATGGCAAATAAAGCAAGAGAGGTCTTTTTGTGAACAAACGCGAGCGATTAGCGAGAGCTCAAACAAAGCTTGCCTCTTGCGAATATATGCAGCTGCTGTCAGGGCCGGAGCAAGCTGAACTGCCGCTCTAGGCAAAGAACGGTCACGCCGCCCTCAAACCTAAAGTGAAACCAGGGGGTCTATTCTACCGCCTATACCGCCTATATAGTATATAGTTTAGGGGACGCCGCCTTCTCTATTCTACCGCCCTAGACGCGGCTATAACAGGCGCGGGTGGCGAGGGTAGTTTAGGGGACGCCGCCCTCTCTATTCTGCCGCTCTAGACGCGGATATAACTGAGGCGCGGGTAACGAGGGTAGTTTAGGGGACGCCGCCCTCTCTATTCTACCGCCCTAGACGCGGATATAACTGAGGCGCGGGTAACGAGGGTAGTTTAGGGGACGCCGCCCTCTCTATTCTGCCGCTCTAGACGCGGATATAACTGAGGCGCGGGTAACGAGGGTAGTTTAGGGGACGCCGCCCTCTCTATTCTGCCGCTCTAGACGCGGATATAACTGAGGCGCGGGTAACGAGGGTAGTTTAGGGGACGCCGCTCTCTCTATTCTACCGCCCTAGACGCGGATATAACTGAGGCGCGGGTAACGAAGGTAGTTTAGGGGACGCCGCCCTCTCTATTCTGCCGCACTAGACGCGGATATAACTGAGGCGCGGGTGGCGAGGGTAGTTTAGGGGACGCCGCCCTCTCTATTCTACCGCCCTAGACGCGGATATAACTGAGGCGCGGGTGGCGAGGGTAGTTTAGGGGACGCCGCCCTCTCTATTCTGCCGCTCTAGACGCGGATATAACTGAGGCGCGGGTGGCGAGGGTAGTTTAGGGGACGCCGCCCTCACTATTCTGCCGCTCTAGACGCGGATATAACTGAGGCGCGGGTGGCGAGGGTAGTTTAGGGGACGCCACCCTCTCTATTCTGCCGCCCTAGACGCGGCTATAACTGAGGCGCGGGTGGCGAGGGTAGTTTCGGGGACGCCGCTCTCTATATTCTGCCACCCTAGACGCGGATATAATTGTAGGCGCGGGTGGCGAGGGTAGTTTCGGGGACGCCGTCCTTTCTATTCTGCCGCCCTAGTCGGCCGCCTAGGTCGCCTCTATGGAAGCGCCGGCCCTGGCTGCTGTAGTAAAAAAAAGGCAGAGTTTAACTGCACAATGGCGCCTAAAACGGACAATAGTGCAAACAACGCTCCCATTTCTGTGTCCATGTTGTTGTTTACAGTGAAGGCTGGTCTGCTGTTTTCCGGTAGCGTTAAAGCCATGTGTTATAGTCATGTGATAGGGGCTTGACGAATAATGGAAGGATACACAATAACATAAAAGCCCCAATCAGGTAGCGAATCTCAGCGGCCCCGCCTCCGTTTTCAGAAGTCTCCGTTTTCCCGCATCCACACTGAGACAAAGCAGCAGTGTTTAGAATGAAAACAGCCACTCCAGTGTTTTCAAAACGATCCGTTTTCGGCGCTCGAAAACTACGGCGTAGTGTGGACGGATTTCGTAACTGTAGCAAAACTTATGCGTTTTCAAACTAAAACGCATTAGTGTAAACGGGGCCTGAGATTTTAAAGACTTTGCATTCATTGAAGAAGTTGCATTCATTGTTGCATTGGGTGTCGGTCCATGGAAAATAGAAAACAATGTAAAGATGTGACCCTGAGGCTGTTTGCCAGATGTTTATGAAACTGTTCTTCTCTCTCAGCCGCCATTGCCGTGTTTGGTGTTCATGCAGCAGCGGGACACGTTTACAACCACACCTACTGCAGTGTGCGGGTGCTGTACTGTTTGAAAACAGCACACCAGTCTCTCAGCCTCTTTTATGACTTATTTTTGCCACAAACAAAGAAAAAACATGAACTTTGTTTATTTGAAGTATACCAGGGCCTTAAAGAGCCCCTATTATGGGTTTTTGAAAATGACCTTCCATGTAGTGTGTAGCACAGCTCTAAGAATATGGTATCCAGCTAAGGCTTAAATCTGAAAGTGGATGGTGTTTAAAACTATTGATTATTTAAATGAATCGTCTTGATAACGAGTCTTTAGCCGTGTCGGCGTGACGACGATACGGAAGTTAAGCCACGCCCATTTGTTGCGTGCGCAAACCTGAGAATATTAATTGTGCTCTGAAGTGTGAGGGGAAAGCTAGTGTTATTTTCTCAACCCAAAGAAGAGGCTGTGAAGAGTCAGTCGCTGAAGATTATCTTTGCAAAAATACCCCAGCATTATAGCCCCATAGCATTATAGCCCCAACCTTGTGCTGTGTTCCTGTCATTTTTCTGACAAGTGCTTCAGCAATCTAAACGCTTACAACGAGGGATTATTGGAGTTTGTTAAAGGAAGGATCAGAAAAGACTATGGATGTAAGGGACTTTGTCAGAGCTCGACAGGAACTTTTGTCCCGGAAGTTATTGCAAATGAATAAAGGACGTGGGAAGCGCAGGATCTTATAAAGAATTATTATTAAAGTTTGGTCATATAACTTATTTATCTCAGGAATTTTCCTAAATGAGACGATGAACGTAAACATTACCATGAAAATCTTTATGAAGGCATAAACACATTAAGGATGTTTATTTGCTGAAATTTTTGTGCATATTATATTTATTGAAAAGGGGAAAACAACAAAACGTTGTATAAATGCTGTAATGTTCAAATGATTTTCCATCAAAAACGCGTGAAGGTCATGTGATCATCAGGAAAAACGCAGCATCTCATTACTTACAGGACGCATTCTCTGTTCTCATGGTCTCCCAAGTTTGTTCTTGCGAGGATGCCTGGCAAGACCGGTCTCCACGAGAACACGAGTCTGTTCGCTGCGTTCTTGGACTTGAGAAACAGCCATACAAAGTAGTGCAGGATGGGGCGGCCCAAGGACTGCAATTGGGAGTAGAGGTCTGCAGCCCGACCAGATTTCTGCGGCGCGGGAATAAATTTCCGAATAAATCGCGGGAGCGGTCGGTAACGGGTTTAATTTGGGACGGGAGCGGGCTGTCTAGCAATATCGCGGATATTCTCGGCCACTCGGGCCAGTTCCGGCTAGATTCTCGCCTGCCGGAGACTTACCACTCAGCCTGGCTCCGGCTGCCGGACTCCGGATGCTTGTGGACTCACTGCCCGATTCCGGCCCGAATCAATCAGGCCAGAAGCGGCGGCCGTAAGCAAGCCGACGCTGCCGCATCCGCGCCGGAATCGGCCCGAGAGTAATGTGCGCTGCGGCCCGGAGCTGGCGCAACTCAGTATTTATATACCTTTATATAAAGCCTTTGAGTTGATATAACAGCAAACGCCTGTGTGTCTGCTTGGTGCTTGTGTGTGTGTTAGTGCGCGTGCGCGTATGAGAGAGAGAGAGAGATTTGTCTGTGTGTGTGTGCTTGGTGCTGTGTGTGTGTGTTTATACAGACAGCTTGGCTGTCTGGACTGTATAGCTGGGTGATTTTCGGTTTTGTTCTCCCCCGCTCTTTAGCGGGATCGGGCGCGGCGGCCAGAAAACGGGGCGGGTCGGGCAGCGGGACAATAAATTCTTAATATAAGCGGGAGCGGTCAGGTTCGGGCTAAAACCTGGCAGGTGCGGGCGGGAGCGGGATTCAAAATTTAGTCCCGCGCAGATCTCTAATTGGGAGCCTCTGCATTCACATCAGAGTTTGTTGGCCCAATTCAGCATGTAGAATTGGCTGATTGGTTACTGGTAATCAATTACAGCGTGAGTGTGACTTAGTGAAGTGACGTAGCAAGTTAACAATTCAAGTCAAGAAGGCCGGCTGTAATTTCTCTCCACATTACACAAACATTTAAAATCGATTTATTAGATTATCAGACATGCTAGCAGGAGCGAATCCCTCCGTGATAAGTGAAGATTACTGTGATAATAGTACTAAATGCTGCTTTGTTTATGCTTTACACACACACAAAGGAAGATCTGGATTTTCGTTCTGAACGATTAAACAGATAACGCACCCCGTGGTGCGGAAAAACTCAACTCAAACACAGGGTACTACCTAAGAATCTAGAATACACAAGACATGTCACTCGTATTGTTTTGAATGGAAAAAAAGTGTAACAGTCAATATGGCTGAAAAAAGCCCACCTTCTAGTACAAGAGGGAACCATCGATCGTTCTATAACAGGGGTCACCAAACTTGTTCCTGGAGGGTCGGTGTCCTGCAGATTTTAGCTCCAACCCTAATCAAACACACCTGAACAAGCTAATCAAGCTCTTACTAGATATACTTGAAACACCCAGGCAGGTGTGTTGAGGCAAGATGGAGCTAAACCCTGCAGGGACACCGGCCCTCCAGGACCGAGATTGGTGACCCCTGCTCTAGAATGACAAAACTCCGGGGGAGGGGCTTGGACCAGACGTGAGTTTCTACAGATTTTGTGATTCGAACATTCAGAAATTAAACTTATGAGACAGTTGTAGTTTAGTGTTATTGGTGAAATCTACAATGAAATTCAATCATAAGCTTTGCAAGTAGTTTTGGAGAATTGGATGTTTCTCCATTCAGAGAGAATGCCTAAGCATACTGTCCGAGAGGCGTTTCAAAGATGGCCGCTGAGTGAAATGACTTGTCTTAAAGGGACTTTGGGACTACTTACTACTACACCTTAAAACAGTCAATCAGCCAATCAGAATCAAGCATTCAACAGCCATTCAAAAGTTAGCATTGGAGTTACTCACAGCGATTTCCCTGCAGGCAGACATGGAAATACCCGTTCCTTCAATCTGTTTCAGTGCATACTCCTTCTCATCCTTCCTGTAAAACACAATCACAGATTTACTAGATGTGAAGAAAAGGCATTAATTATGGCGTACACACTACTACAACTCATCACAACAATAGACAAAATATTCAGTCAAGCCCGAAATTATTCATACCACAGGTATTTCAATATAATTAGATTTAATAATGCAATCTGAGATCGATAACAACAGGGTATATGCGGACGGACTTTTAATTTCTCAGTGACCTGGGTAAAGCACTTCCGGTGAAGGTCTGTTTTTTTTTAAATCAGCGATCTCCAATGCCTGAGGGATATCCGATATTGACCTTATTCTAAAATGCGGAAGTGCGCCTGTTTTTGCGATTGTTTTAGCACTTCCGATTCAGGTGCCTATGGGAGAAATGACAAGGAATAATAAACGGCAGAAAATGGTCAAACTACTTGCTCTGCAAACAAATGTTTGCATGACTATTAGGGCTGCACGATATTGAAAAAAGTTGACATTGCGATATTTTTTTCCCTGCGATATATATTGCGATATTTAGAAATTCAGAATCGGGAGTTTTGAACTGCTCAAAAATTAAATAATCAATAATTCTATAATAATTTGGGTACTTTTTTAAAGCATTTTCATAGAATATAAAAAATGAATGAGTAAAAACACTGAACAAACATTTTTATAGTTTCTTTTGGGTGGTGTATATAAAAAATATGACTTAACTGTCAATTCAGATAAATCAAGTATCTAATATGTTATGATATTAATACTAAATGTTCCTTTTACTGTGATAAAGGTGAGCTCATTTGGTGAATGCAAAGATGACACTTTATTATCACATTTAGCAATTAACACAAAAAATAAGTGACAAAATAAGTAATTTTACTTTTTATTAAACAATTACAAACTTTTTTTATTACAACAATTACAAAACAGAAGGAAATATCTTGTCACAAAATTGTAAAAATATATAAAAACAGCTAAACACTCAGCCCCTGAGTGGTTTAAAAAATAAAACATTTACACACAATTAAATTGTGGATAAGATAAACTTGTTCTAAAAATTACCAACAATTAACTTTACAATAAATAAAATAATATGGCAGTTTTATATATATATATATATATATATATATATATATACATATATATATATATATATATATATATATATATATATATATATATATACAAATATATATAATAAATAAATAAATAAAATATAAATAATATAAATATAATAATAAATATAATAATATATATTTATAAATATATATATATATATATATATATATATATATATATAAATATATATATATATAAATATATATTTTTTTTTTTTGCTTTGCATCGCACCTCCTGCGATGTGACTATTGCGGATGCGCACATCGCAATTTCGATGCTGAAACGATGTATCGTGCTGTGTGCAGCCCTAATGACTATACCAAGTAGAATAATGTAATAAGAAAATATCAGTTTGCAACGTCAAACAGCAAAACAAGCTGTTTTTAATGTCTAAAAATTAATGGAAGTGAATGAGACCGGAAGTCTCGAGCCAAAAAGATTCAAATGGCTGCTTCCACTCGTCGGCGAAGAATAAAGTGAATAAAGTGGGTCTCAGATTGTACAAGAAGCACTGCACTAAATTACATTTTCCCCGACATTCTTTGAAAATATTAACATTTTCTTATTTTACCCCAGTGGTGCTTCTGCGCTAGCCTGCCGATCCTGACAGGCACGTGCGAGTAAAAGACTTTTTGTCTCGTTTTACACTTGAGCAACTAAATAAATGTCAAAGTCTGTTTAACTGATTGTATTTTAATTGCATTACAACATCCATGCTGTAAAAGGAACCGTATAAAATGGAAAAAAGTCACATTAACCGTTCACTGGAAGTTTATCAGTATGGGAAGAACACTAGCTCCGCATATACCCTAATTTGAAAATTGTGCAAACATAGCAGCATGGAAATAGGTGATGTGTCTCAATGGTAACCTGATGGTAATTAACTCCACTGATAAAAGACAAAGTGGCGAGGCAGTGGCGCAGTAGGTAGTGCTGTCGCCTCACAGCAAGAAGGTTGCTGGTTCGAACCTCGGCTCAGTTAGCGTTTCTGTGTGGAGTTTGCATGTTCTCCCTGCCTTCGCGTGGGTTTCCTCCGGGTGCTCCGGTTTCCCCCACAGTCCAAAGACATGTGGTACAGGTGAATTGGGTAGGCTAAATTGTCCGTAGTGTATGAGTGTGTGTGTGTGGATGTTTTCCAGAGATGGGTTGCGGCTGGAAGGGCATCCGCTGCATAAAAACTTGCTGGATAAGTTGGTGGTTCATTCCACTGTGGCAACCCTGGATTAATAAAGGGACTAAGCCGACAAGAAAATGAATGAATAAATGATAAAAGACAAAGTCTGACGCTTTCCTGAAAAAAATGCTTGCTGCAAACAAACAGCGTTGCTGTATCGGCCCGGACAGGATCAGGGGGGAAAACATGCAACAAACCCTGTGGGTCATGGAAACAAACATATACGACCTGTGTCTCACCTCTGTCATTGGGTTTCCCAGCTTGGCAGTTACTATTAGCTAAGCGTAAATCATTAAATTAGGCCTTGTCCATTTCGCCTCTTGCTTTCGTGACCGTCACCTAGCAACGGCTGTAAACAAAACAGCAGCTCGATGACGCAAGCGTACCGGGGTTCAGAAGGAAAAAACAGTGTGAACACAAACCAGCTTAAGGCTGTTTATACTTCTGCATCAAGCGCACGCGTATGCTACAGCACAGCCTACGCGCTGACGCATAGCCCAACGCCGTGGCCATCGCTGACACGCACCTCTCAAAAAATGGAACTACACATCGCAACGACATGTAGCGCAAGCTCTGGGATTGGTTAGCTTGGAATCGCTGACAAGTGTGGGCGGGACCGAGAGCTGTGCGAGGCCGATGAAGCGATTGTTTACAAGTGTGGAGTCCCGTGATGGAGCTCCGGATGAAAGGTTTTGCTTTGTGTTTACCTTCCCTAGTAGCAAAGAATTCTGGCCCAGATTTGGCATAAAGCTGGCACAGCAGGCATTCATCCGGCACTGGCATACAGCATGTGGGCCAAACATGGCCCGGGTTTGGCAGAGGCGGCACACAAGATTTGGGCCAGATGAAAAACGTAGTATTTGGCCCAGATTTAAAAATTTGATAAGTGGGCCATGTGAGTTTGGCCAGTTTTGACCCACATTTAAAATACACTAAAATCATTTTTTAGTAAAGAAAATAAATTCTACCAATCAGGTCACTTTGAGAAAAAGCGTGCCCATAGTGTGCCTAAAGCGCATCACTCCATGGGTTTATCAATTTCATTGCAATCGTGACACACCAACCTATCTGGCCCAGTTCAGGCCCAGTTATGAGTTATTAACTTGGCTGAGACTTGGCCCAGATATGGTCCGTGTTTGGCCCTTGTCTGGAAGCCAGATTTGGTCCAGTCATGTACCGTAATTCACTGCGGCATGTGGGCCAAGCAAAACCTGATTGTGTGGGCCACAGCTGGGCCAGAGAAACTTTGCTATGTGGGTTATGATTAAAGTTGTTGCATGTCCGCCGGTTCCTGCCTCAAAATAAGCGAGTTTGAGCGTTCAGAAAAAACAAAACGCCAGCGAATAAACTCAACACAGAGGAACATTAACACCTCATTGCCGACAAGCTTTTCGGAAGTGTTATTGCAGAACATCAGAAATAGCGCGCAGAAGTATGAATGCACGGCTACGCGCGTTGCATGCGCCGTGGGTCACGCCGATCACTTGACGCAGAAGTATAAACCAGGCTGTACTCTCGTACTTATCAGGGGTTGCAGCAGCGGAATGAACCACCACAGAAAATAATATCACACAGATATTTAAAAAATTGGAGATGCGGTGGCGCAGTAGGTTGTGCTACTTACTGCATCGCCACCACATTTTCATCTTTTCACAAAGAAACTTTAGTCCTGTTTCGAATCTGCTGCTATGCTTTAAATTTAAAGTGACAGTAACCAAAACAGCATGATTTGGATCAAAGCCTAAAAGGGTCCATTTCAGAGAGATATAAAACATTATCTGTGTGGTATTTTGAGCTGAAACTTCACACACACACTCTAGAGACATAAGAGACTTATTTTACATCTTGTGTAAAGTGTCATAAGAGGACCCCTTTATTGAGCACACATTGACTCCTGTATAAATAAGAGCACACACACACACACACACACTGCAAGCACGTGAACTCGATCACAGATGCTCCATAAACTCCAGCACGCAAGAGCTTGTGCACTTATGAAGAAGTGGGCAGCTGTTATACTGCGTAAATGAGTATGTCAACTCGTGCACAGGTGAGCCTCTGAATTCCAGCACATGTAAACATGACATCTTCTCATCCGAGCACACAAACTCACAGTGGACTTCAAACGCATGCAACTTCTGGACAGAGGAACTGATTTGCAGTGAACTCCTGCACACAAGAGTGAAACATGCATCACGCTGGCTGGTTTGGGGGTGGACCGTTTGAAGTGCGTCCATGAAAACAAAAACAATCACACACACACACACGCAGGCTACAGAAAACAGCGCAATTCCCCCGACACATATGAAGCTCCTGCACACCCAGAGACAGCAGAAGCGCGTGCAGTGAGTGAAACGCGTCAATCAAACGCGTGTCTCTTACCCGTCTTTACGCTTCGCTTTATAAACATGCCCGTATGTGCCGCGACCCACTTTACAACCTTCATATTCAAACAGATCTTCCACTCTCTCCCTCTCGGCGGCGAGCTTCGTTTTGAAGTCGTAGTCCATTTTAACCCATAAATATTTCTTAATTTACAAGAAAATAAAATATTAATTATTACATGCATTAATTAAATGATCCGATCGTTTTTATTACCCCACCATTTCCTTGTTTGGGATTTTGGTCGGCTCCGCTTAACGGTCACGTGCTCGGTGACGTATTTTATTGTGGCGGGTTGCATTGTGGGGAGCGTAGTGCCGTTTGATGGAGCGCCAGCTCGAGTTGACGGCGGCAGGACATCTGAAAAACTACAGCGAACAAATCCTCCTTTCGTCTTTCCACTCTGATTCAAAACTAACATTTCTGAACGTTAGCGCTTGGAGTGTTTGCACAATGGCAGAAAAAAAGCTTATAATAACTAAACATAATTAATAAAATGTGTGGAATACATAACCTAACAGTTTTTTTCTTTTTCAAAGAGAGTGCTAGATAAATGGGAGTCAATTATTTGTGCAGTGGCTCAGCGTTATTCACCTTATTCTCAGCTGACGAGCGGGCGCTGCCATTTGAATCTTTTTGTCTCGCGACTTCCGGTCACATTCACTTCCATTCATTTTTTGACGTTAACAACTGCACGTTACGCTGCTTGATGTTGCAATTTAATATTTTCTTATTATATTATGCTACTTGGTCTGTGTAGTCATGCAAACATTTGTTTGTTGAGCAAGTAGTTTGGCCATTTTCTGTCGTTTATTATTCCTAGTCATTTCTCCCATAGGCGACTGAATCGGAAGTTCTAAGACAATCGCGAAAACAGGCGCACTTCCGCATTTTAGAATAAGGTCAATAGCAACGCAAATGTTTGCTCATCTATACAAGGACACACACTCACACACGCGCTACTACAGCGTGAACTCATACTTTTACGCAACATCCCGCTTGACTGATATCCGTTCAACCAATCGCTGTAGACCTGAGGGTGGCTCCCTCGCCGCGATTGGCAACGACGAGAATGACGTCGTCGGGTAGGTAATAAAAGCTCCGCGCAGACTGCCGTTCTGCGCTTACACAGTATGGCCGGCGATATTAGCTAGCACTCGCCTACGGTATTCTCTGTAAAAGGGAAGACGGTAAATACAAACAAAAAAATAAGGCAACTACATCTGGACTGCTCAAGGACTGTAACTAAGCTATTAAGTTATAACCGCCAACGAAGGACTACATAATTTGTGATTCCATCCGACGGTTTATTTTCTGTTGTTGGAGTCTGTTTGTCTCACGATGGAAGAGAGCAGTGCACACTTCTTCGAGGGGACCGAGAAGCTCCTGGAGGTGTGGTTCTCCCGGCAGGACGAAGCCAAAGGAACCGGGGATCTGCGCACAATCCCTAGGTGAGTGAGTCCGTCCGAGCCGCGGGTGCCTCGGGCGGAGCGGGGCTGGATTTCACCGAGCCAGACGCTCCGTTTGGGGCTTAAATCGTGTGTGAAACGCTGTGATAATGTCAGGAGGTCTGGCGGAGTGACATGTGGCGCAGGCTCTGACACCCGTGGCGTGATCAGCACTTCTGGCCGTTTTTGACACCATCCCCCTTTAGACTCATTCATTTCAGCTGTCAGGACTGCAGCTCAACTCCAGCCCCAGCGAGCTGCCCATATTGGCAGTATTAGCTCGTTCACTGCGTGCTGTTAATCACTGCAGTGCACGCGCGTTGTAAATCATCAGCTCGTTATGATAAACAATCGTCACGCTGATGTCGTCCACTTTGTCTTTTCGGTGTGTCGTTCAACATGTGACTCCGGAGGCCGTTTGCATCTGTCAGCGAGTTTCTGGAGCGATGATTCTCCGAGTTTCAGCCCTGCTGCTGTCTGCTTCATTTATTGATGAGCTGTACAGAGAATGCTGATCGATTAGCCAGTGGCTAGCGCTAGCTGATATGGCGCCATAGCAAACACACCTCCTCGCCCTGCATCAGTGCTGCTGTCTAAAATGCTTTACTTATTCGATTAGTCCCCTGTAACTGCGCATGTTCTGTTTGTGTGTGTGTTCGCACAAAGCTGTGCATTTGGACAAGGGCCTGCTCTTTATCTGCAGTGCTGTATGTGCACACACGCGAGTATGAATGAGTGCAGGCTCTATTTTTGGGGAGTATCATGGCGGTTGATCCTGCGCCGCAGCTTCCATGTGAAAATCACGTGTATGCGTCACATGCCGTAAGCTCCGCCCCGCGCACGGTGATTGGTCGAGTGTCCCGGCCGCTCATTGGTCCATATGTATGTGCGCAGAGCCTGACAGCTGCAGCAGAAAACGATGAGTTCATGCGCGCGCGCAGCAGCCCTCCTGTTTTTATGATTGTGATTTATTATATTGCGTCATGTGTGTGAATATTTTGAGATCACCTAAAAGCACAATAAATAAGCTTCCATTTTGATGTGGGGGTGGTGTTGGGATACGACAACATTTGGCGAGGTAAAATCTGAAATGAAAGGGTTAAACATCCAAATATTGAGCAAAAATATCTATCTATCTATCTATCTATCTATCTATCTATCTATCTATCTATCTATCTATCTATCTATCTATCTATCTATCTATCTATCTATCTATCTATCTATCTATCTATCTATCTATCTATCTATCTATCTATCTATCTATTTATTTATCTGTATATCCATCTGTATATCCATCCATCCATCCATCCATCCATCCATCCGTCTATCTGTATATCAATCCGTCTATCCATCCATCCATCCATCCATCTATCTATCTGTAAATCCATCCGTCCATCTATCCATCTATCCATCTATCTATCCATCTATCTATCTATCTATCTATCTATCTATCTATCTATCTATCTATCTATCTATGTGTATATCCATCCGTCTATCTATCTATCTATCTATCTATCTATCTATCTATCTATCTATCTATCTATCTATCTATCTATCTATCTTATCTGTCTGTCTGTCTATCTATCCTTCTATCTGTATATCAATCCATTTATCTATCCATCTATCCATCCATCCTTTTGTGTATCTATTTGTGTTTATATATGAATGTGTGTGTAATCCGATTTTTTACATAAATATAATAATTTGATGAAAACCAGTCAAAAGGTGAGTCCACTGAAGTGTAAGAATTATTAGTTATCCGCCTCATTCAGATGTACTAGGCCACTAAACAGATTGTCTGTCAGTAAGCGTAATTATTATATTTAAAATGACGCCACGACTGATGCATTTCACTGATGAGTGTGATCTTAACTTTGGTTGACTTCAGCTGTGGCGTAGTTGATGTAGGACACGTGTAAAATATGAATGAGGACAGGAGTGTCCTGCAGGAGGGCCGTTTCTTCATTTTCTCAGTACGGTAAGCTGATCTCTGGTTTCTCCGGCTTCGGCTGTCATAGTGAGTGATGAAGGGTATTAGTTTGCTTCCGGGAAAGCGTTAACTCTCTCAGAGACACTAGAAAGAGGATCATTGGCGTCTGAGCACAGCCTGCATCCAAATAAGTCCATGAGGGCGAGCAGCTGCGCCACCGCCTCCTCTCCAGCTGAGGAGGATCAGACCTGTCCAATACATTCACTGGGGCGGTTCACACCTGGTTACTTCATGCAGTTTTTTTCTGATTGGTTCGTTGTCTGATCATGAAAAGGACCGGTGCAAATGCTCTCTGAAATGCATTTGAGACTGATATAAGTAAAATGAGTTAACATGTAAGAGGGTGCTACATTAGAAGTGCTACATTAGACCATACTGGGGTTGTCATGTGTATCGAATTCGATACCATTCGGTACTGTAATTTTTAAAACCTGCATTTCCTACTAACATTTGAGCGCATACTTGGTGAGCGTGTGAACACAATGGCCAATCAATAGGCCCACACGGAATCTGCACGCGCAGATTCATAAACATTATGAACACATTATAAACATAAACATTATTTAAATAATATACTGCATATTTAATGCTTTAGGCTAGTGTTTAACAGCAGACGGTGCTTAAGGCTAGTTTTAATAGCAGACGGCCCTCTAGGCTAGTTTTTAAACAGTAGATTGCGCTCTAGGCTAGTATTAACAGCAGATGGCACTCTAGGCTAGTATTAACAGCAGAGGGCGCTATAGGCTAGTTTTTAACAGCAGACGGAGCTCTACGTTAGTGTTTGACAGTAGACGGCACTCTAGGGTAGTTTTAACAGCGGACAGCGCTCTAGACTAGTTTTAAAAGCAAACGGCACTCTAGGCTAGTTTTAACAGCAGACGGCGCTCTAGGCTAGTTTTAACAGCCGACGGTGTTCTAGGCTAGATTTAATTGCAGACAGCGCTCTTTGCTAGCTTTTACCTGCAGATGGTGCTCTAGGCTAGTCTTTAACTACGTGAGGAATCTACATGAGTTTTTAACAGCAGACAGCACTCTCGGCTAGTTTTTACAGCAGATGGCACTCTAGGCTAGTTTTTACAGCAGATGGCACTCTAGGCTAGTTTTTACAGCAGATGGAGCTTTAGACTAGTTTTTAACAGGAGACGGCACTCTAGACTAGTTTTGAACAGCAGACAGCGCTCTTGGCTAGATTTAACAGCAAATGGCGCTCTAGGCTAGTTTTTTTAACAGCAGACGGTGCTCTAGGCTAGTTGTAACAGCAGACTGAGATCTAGGCTAGTTTTAACAGCAGACGGTGGTACTCTAAGCTAGTTTTAACAGCAGGCGGCGCTCTAGGGCAGTTTTAACAGCAGACGGCGCTCTAGGGTAGTTTTAACAGCAGATGGTGCTCTAGACTAGTTTTAACAGCAGACGGCGCTCTAGGGTAGTTTTAACAACAGACGGAGCTCTAGTTTAGTGTTTAACAGCAGACGGCACTCTAGGGTAGTTTTAACAGCAGATTGCCTTTAGTTCAGTGTTTAACAGCAGACGGCACTCTTGGCTAGATTTAACAGCAAATGGCGCTCTAGGCTAGTTTTTTTAACAGCAGACGGTGCTCTAGGCTAGTTGTAACAGCAGACTGAGCTCTAGGCTAGTTTTAACAGCAGACTGTGGCACTCTAGGTTAGTTTTAACAGCAGACGGCGCTCTAGTTTTGTGTTTAACAGCAGACGGAGCTCTAGTTTAGTGTTTAACAGCAGATGGCACTATAGGGTAGTTTTAACAGCAGATGGTGCTCTAGACTAGTTTTAACAGCAGACGGCACGCTAGGGTAGTTTTAACAACAGACGGAGCTCTAGTTTAGTGTTTAACAGCAGACGACACTCTAGGGTAGTCTTAACAGCAGATGGTGCTCTAGTTTAGTGTTTAACAGCAGACGGAGCTCTAGTTTAGTGTTTAACAGCAGACGGAGCTCTAGTTTAGTGTTTAACAGCAGACGGAGCTCTAGGGTAGTTTTAACAGCAGACTGAGCTCTAGGGTAGTTTTAACAGCAGACTGAGCTCTAGGGTAGTTTTAACAGCAGATGGCGTTCTAGAGTAGTTTTAACAGCAGACGGTGCTCTGGGCTATTTTTTAGCTAACATTTAAGTGCATACTTGGTGAGCATGTGAACACAATGGCCGATCA